ACCATCAGAACCTGCTACCGAGGCAATCCTGTACATTTAAGCCATATTCAACTTCACTGTTTCGCGTTTTGATTGTCTTGGAGCTTTCCCACAATGCAATATTCTCTTTCGTCTTCCTCCTCATTCTTGTTTCGTCATTCTGAATTTTCTCATAACATCTGTAAACTTCTAGTACGCGAGAGTTTACTCGACTGACTAGTTACGATAAACTTCTCGTCTCCTCAGAGTTTCGGCGTTTTGATTAAATGGGGCAAAGAACATTTTATTGTGTTGCGTGGCTGGAGCTAGAAATAAATTAAAATGTGATTATAAAAATGGCGAAAGCTGAAATTGATATATATGAGCGATATTTCAGACCTGTCTTATTACATCATAAAAACGAACATAAGCATGTGGGGCTTTAGTTTACGTAACGTTAACTGTTTGTGTGAATTTTTCAGCATACTATATTAGTTATTGAAGGGAAACTACTGTTTTATGTGGAATTTAAATTTCAAATAAATACATTTTTGGATGTCATAAATACGATCACTCAGATACAGAATCCATATTTGGACTCGGTAAATAGGTATATTTTGTGTGGAGCATCAGAGGACAATCAGGTTTATCACATAAATTATATCAAAGACGTTATCTTAGCAGTAACATGTATAAAGTGCTTAATAGGTCGAGATCATCACAGAATATTGCTATTAAGTTTTTTCATGGTTTTGTTTAGTAATTTCATCGGTGTGTCGATATGTGTTTCAGTTATGACTTAATTTAGGAAAGTCGGTTAATTATACTACTTACTCTGTTAGAATGAACAGTTGGACCGTCGTGGAATATTTATAATATAAAATTTTGCATCCTAAAATTCTGATGAACGTTCTCAGTTCTATCATGATGATGCCTTCCCTCTTCTTCTGGTCCTTCCAAGTGGTCGTTTTCCAGTTGTTTTCCTTCGTGAAATTCTGTATCCGTTTATTGTTCCCCATTCCAGCCACATGCCTATCTCGTCGTAGTCCCTAAATGCCACTATTCCAACAATATTGGGTGACATGCAAATCAGGAGTTTCCTCGTTATATAATACTTTATTGTAACTTGCTCACTTTAGCCTTCGAAGCTCCAGATACTCTGCTGAGGACTGTGGCTTGTAATATGTGTCTTTGGAGAGAAGATAAATTTTAAAGAATAACGCAACAATTCTTCTACAAACTATAAAGGATTAGTTACAAGACCTGTGTTGGTACTTTATTCACACCATTAATAAGTCACGCCATTGAAACTCAAATTTACTACATTAATAAATTTGTTAGTTGGCTTAAGTGCACACCATTTCAAAAATTTATACTGTTCTATAAGTTATTGCTTTGTAAATTCGTATCTCTGTGCATCAAATCAAACGTAAAAAGGGAAAAAGGAACTCAGAAAATCTTTTACACTCTTCGTTTGTTAAATGTAGATATCTGTAGTTGGCTGGCTTGCAGGTCTACACGTTTATGTTGAATATCCATAAATTTTCTGACGATGCAATATTCATAAATTCGACATCTTCGGCTAGAGTTTCATGTAAACGATTATACGTAGTGATATAATTACCAAAATTTAATTTATGCAGAATTTCCTTACCTGATTTAATCGATATCCGTCAAATGATCTGACATAAAACATTTCCAATGAGAGACGATCGCATGGCTTTCCCCATCATTGGCCCATGTTCGTTTTGCACTGAGTGTAAAGCAAACGTCCTGTAATTTTATATGTTCGTTTTGCACTGAGTGTAAAGCATACGTCCCGTAATTTTAGAAGTTACGGGTATTAATAAACAATTTTTTACCTGTATGTGCAGTAATATTTTTTTAGAGTGGTAAGACAATAGTACAGCCGAATATCTTGAAATGCCATTATTGTCTTTGCTGTCTGAGATACTGTTACTTTTGGCGCTTGGCATCGAAACAAAGTTAGCTTAAATTTGATTTCCTGGTTACGTGTAGACATGCAGATAGTAAAGTAAACTGCAGACTAATGGGAGTAATCTGGTACAGACGTATATCAAGTGTAGATTGTTGGGCGGATTTCCGTACTTCAAAGAGCAGAATGACGAATATAGTATCACAATGGTCGCCACACTCTTGAGTTCTGTAGGTACAAGAGCACTGCTCCACCGTCCATGTTTCAGACTTTCGGGGAAAAACTTAGTAACAATAGAAGAAGCGTCTATATCTGAGTGCGTAGAATGTACATATTATATTCATCAAAGTTAGAGTCAGTGCGCATTGTTGATTCTGCACTGTTTGGTAGTAGGCTAGGTTGTTATACGTTTAGAAGTTGACACTGGAAGGTGGGTGAGTGGTCAGCGTCACGCCCCGGCCGCTCTTTACCCCCGGTACTCATTAAAGAGGAGGCTAGGTAGACCCCAGAGCCAGTTTGGACGCAGAGGCTAGACGAAAATCCTCTGCCTTTGTTGAGGATCTAACTCCGGTCGTCCAGCCTATACTGATTGAGTTTCCCAGTTTAAATTTAGATAGTGTATGCCACTAAAATTACTTTCGTTCAAATGCGGAAATGATGTAACGAATCTATCAGTTATTCAAATCTTAAAGTGTTGATATTTTATTGTTGAATATTAAATATTTGTTGATGTGTGGTGTTTTTGTAATTTCTCCTTTTATCGTCTGTCCGTCTTTTCTCACCTCTCAGAATTAATTGTAATTTGACATCTCTACGTTGCGTCAACTGAACAAAGAAAAATATATTTTGAAGAAAAGACATTTCGTAGTTTAAAGCCTATAAGAATAAATGTGGTGACGATAAATGTGGATGGAGACATTAGAACGGAGCATCTGTTTGGTTGGAGGGTCAAATAGAGACCGGATTGACTTTCACACCAGTCGCTCTAACACAAATCAATGTCAATATCCCAGACATACCCGGCGTTATTTTGCTTTACTGTGTACTACCATTTAAATTTCTGAATTGTACAGCAATTTCCCTATGTTGCTGCAATGGTACAGGTTTTATGTTAAAATACTGAAAGCTGCTGAAGTCTTGCGGCTCTGTAAGGAATGGCATCTCGCCAGTCAACTGATGCTTATGGCCCAAGTCCAAGTTTCCTACTTTCCCTTCCAGTCCCCTTTTCATTCTTTCTTCGCCATTCTCCTTCCTACAGAGATACGCTTCTGTGTCTTCAAGCAATCCTCAAAATTTCAGACTAGAAAGTTTGTTCCTCTTTCTTGACTTCTCTAGCTTCGATGGTTCAGTGTCTTAAAGCTTCAACTTTCTGTAGCACTTCAGAACGAAGAGTCTAGACACGGAGTATAAAATTATTGTACAAATGAATAAGAAGGAGGAATCTTGACAAAGAGAGAAATGAAACGGAAGTGAATAAACGACAATGTTGAGCAGGGCAGAATGGCGGAGACCCGTACTTAATAAAGCTCTTCATTCCACTTGCCTTAACTCATTAACCGTATTTGCCCCTTGAAATAAAAGCCAAGTATAATAAATTAAGTCAGTGGAACAAATGGTAATGAGATAGACACTGTGCTGTTAAGGAGCTGCTTGCTGGTTCGGTCTGTTGCTTGGATGCTTATACCTAGCTCTAAGTGCCGTATGTACTTTGACTTTGTGAACAGTTCGAAGTAAGGAAGTAAAAATACGCAAGTTATTTTGGATTTTTATCTGTGAGCATCCCTGGAACACTGTTAAATATGATATAACTGACAGTTTAAATAACAAGGAGAGAATGCTTTTTAAGGAATATAATACCGGTCTCTTCATGACAAGTTAACATCACTGTAGTGTTTCAAGTAATGTATTGACTTAATGCAAGTAGCTATAAAATCTTGTACGTTTTCACGGAACAAATTATTTCAAGTGCAGCAGAATGGCCGCGTTTGAGGTTAAAACTCCCATTTGTGGCGTAATTATAAACTATTTTTTTTTAGTTTTGGTTGAAGTTAAGGAACACGAGCCAACATGTGTAGGATGCTAGTAAGTATTTTTGTGTTTAAAGTATCATTGCAACTTTGCCGCAGTCGAATAGTAATCGGAAATTGATGATGACAATTGCCCTGGTTATTGGGTCAAGGTCATCAGAATCCTCCCCCGGTGAATTTGCCGTTAATGAGGTGGATCAACAAGAAATTACGTCAATGTTTGAGGGCTCAAGAGCAAGATTGCATGAGGCATATAGTAACTGGTCGAAGCCTTGGTTACCAGAATTTTGACGGAAGTGAACTACCGTTATGGACATGTGAATCGTTTTGAACAAATAACGCTTCTGTAAACACGCTGATAATTTCTTGTGTTATAAAATGCGCACTTCACATTCTCACTTTTAATGAAACTGGAGTTGTGCAATTTGTAAGATTCTAAGTTAATCTTTAATTGTCATGCAGAAATAATTTTTTTCCGAGCGCCGCAGAAAGTCTCGCAGTTAACTGGGACGTGTGAATGGAAACTTTCCTCGGATGTGCCGCAACTGCGTGCGGAAAAACAGAGATAATTTCCAACATCTGTTGTAATCGGCGTTAAGTTTTATTTTTGATGTGTTTAAGTTGTAGACCTGTCGGTTCCGCCAGCAGTCCGAATCTCCGCGGGGCTTGTGACGGGACATGCCTCAGGCACTTCCGCCTGAAAGCTTCAGCGATTAGTGGGACGCTCGAAAATAATCTCAATGTATTAACTGGCAAGGCGAACTTTATATGTGCGTGGACTTGTAGCGTATCATCGTCTAAAGCAAAATGCACATTGTTTATCTTGTATATATATATATATATATATATATATATATATATATATATATATTGATAAACTTTTCAGACTTTAAAGGGTTCTGTCTATGAAACCAAGTTAGTTACTAAAAGACGGATGATACGTTCAGAAGAGACTACAGATACCAGGCTGTACAGGAACTTGTCACAGGTCACAAACAAGACATCGGGCACACCCAGATTTCTGTTGACTAGCAGAAGAAACTGTTGCCTAATTGAAGACTTGTATTTGTTTCGTGCAGGTGTCCTGGGTTCGACGGAAGGACAACGAGTTTCATCTCCTCACGTTCGGTCTGCACACTTATTCGAGCGATTCGCGTTATTCTCTGAACTACCTGCATCCAAATGACTGGCGCCTCCACATCCAGTTCGCCAACGAACGTGATGAGGGATTCTACGAGTGCCAGGTGTCTTCTCACCCGCCGCTCGTGTTCTACGTCCTGCTCAACGTCGTTGGTGAGTACCCCACTCGTCAGTTGTTTAGGTTATGATGTATGATTTATACCGTTCGTCACATATTAACAGGTCTCAGAATTGAATAACTAAACAGGTTTTTGTGTAGCAACCGGCAAGGTTAATTCGTGTTGATTTGCGTGGCTACATGATGTAAAAGTCTCATATTAAACAGTCGTTGGGATTCAGTTTAATTTGTGAAATAGGAAAGTTCATTGTCACCGAGACACCGGATAAAGTACAAGTGAATAAAATCGTTGATTAAATTAATCCAGATCTACTTTTTTGATAGCGAAGTAATTGCCCTTATAAATTTGTTCCTCAGGAGACAATTTTCGGAAAATTTTGTCTGGTAATGTTAAGTATTGGAAGGGTCGTTATAATTGACGTATAATGGGGAGTATTATAAGACACACTAATATTAGGCTGCTAGAATATATAATTTCTTTATAATTAATTCAGATGCCAGATTTCGTATGAGTAAAACTAATCGATGTGTTAAGCTTAACATGTATTTTTAGAGTTTAGCATATGTAAGATACTCAAAATCACTATTCTTTTCCTTTTGTCTTTATCTTCATGACTTCGGAAACTCATTATCTTCCGATTTCTTCATGCAGCCCTGTGAGTTTGTACGACTGTTCTCTTTCGGATTTCCGTCCTCACTTGGTCTATGTACAAAGTCCCTTCATCTTTTGTCACATGTAGTAATCTCTTCAACTACTTATCACCAAAATTACTTAGTTTTTAGGTATATCTCTATTAATTTTTATGCGTGACTTCCTTTTTCAGTTTTAAGCTCTTCTGTTAGTCCATTTTTGAATGATTTAATTTATGCCTATGTTTAGGCAACCATATTTTACCGGAAGTTTCGTAAATTTGTCCACTACTTATTATGTGCTATAAGGAATACGTAAAAAGGGAAGTTTATATTTATGGTTGGTGGGAGTGAGAAGTATCTTTATTATATCACTTTGCATGGGGAATTAATGGAGGCTGAGACATGTAGGGGAGCTTAAAAAATTGATTATAAGTAACTGTTTCTCATCGTGTTCATTTTGTTTTTTAAGTAAAATAAGTATAACTAATAAAGGGGAGATTTAGAATGTTTCAAAGATAAAATAGACCATAATTATATTACGCTTTATAAAACCCATAAAAGAGCCTAACTCTTAAATATTATGGTTATGGATTTTAGTATTGAAGCTTAATGTATCACATTTACAATCAGGGATATCAATAATAATTTATTATTTTCCTTTAGTAGGGACGATGCAAAGAAAGGATTATTTTGCTGATATATGCAGTCATTCATACTTGCGAAGACATGCTCAGTTTAACATACATACATACATATATATATATATATATGTGTGTGTGTGTGTGTGTGTTTGCGCGCGCCCGGGCTCGTGTGTTCTTAACAGTTCAAGGAAGAGGGTTTCAGCAGTTGCTGTTGTAGTGATAAAGTTCATACGTAAATCAGTTTTGAAACCTAGTATGTAACTTGAAGGGCGTTACTTTTTTCATCCTTTTCGTTCGCTGATCACGTAACTGTCGGGATTTAATGTGGACAGCAGGGAGTTTGCTTTGGGGACATGGAGATAAAAGTGTACGCGTTATATGTTGGCGTGCCGCCCCCTTCTGGAAGGAAGGTTAGGACAAAGCACCCAACGCCCCTACCGGAACGCCCAGTCGTTCGGTGAGCTGAAAAAGTCTTGCTACTCAGACCGTCTGTATACTTTACTTACTTTACTTGCTATTTCGTTCTGTAACCTCCGTGTAATGAAACCTGAAGTGCGAACTGTGTTGTTAGACATGATCCCGGGTCATTCTTAGACCTGAAGATTTCTGTCTTCTGGGTTGTTGCGTTGTGTAGTCTGGTCGATGTTTAGCCCTGATGACGGTGGCAGTATGACCTCTGAAACGTTGGTTAACATCGACCACACTACACAGCGCAACAACCCAGAAGACAGAAATCTTCATACTCTGATGACGGAGGCAGTATGACCTCTGAAACGTTGGTTAACATCGACCACACTACACAGCGCAACAACCCAGAAGACAGAAATCTTCATACTCTGATGACGGAGGCAGTATGACCTCTGAAACGTTGGTTAACATCGACCACACTACACAGCGCAACAACCCAGAAGACAGAAATCTTCAAACTCACCGCTGTGAAAACCCCAAATCTTACATTTTTAGAACTTTTGTCTGATGTTTTTTCAGAATTATTATCCTAGTCTCCTGTTTCGATGATGAAATAGAGAAATCATTTACCCAGTTACGAAGTTTGCGTTGTTGTTTGTAAATAGAAACGAATCTTATTTTCAGTAAATACTTAAATTTAAAGTACTAGCATTTAATCGGAGGTCCTCCTTAGTGCAGGTTCTCATTTCATCTCTGACTCTGGCATAAACAGTCGCATTGGGCTTGCTCTGAACTTTGTGTAGTTTGCCGCTAATGAAGTGTAACGCAAATGGGTGGCGAAACACCCGACGATTTGCGACAACAAACACACTGGGGTAATTCAAATTAAACAACAAGTAAATATTATTACGGCAACCGCTGACAGTGGATGAACATTCAAGGGCTGTTAGTGTTTGCATCTCCTCGTAGGAGTTCTAACTGAGTTCCGAAAGTTGTTTTGCATTTAAATTATCTGCAAATTATATGAAAATATCTTTCCTCTGTTGTGAATACTTAATAATATAATATGTTGATTTGAAAATAAAACTTCAGAACTACTTGTACATACTGTCAATAAATCCCATCCTTTCGCGCATGTTCATTGTCTCTTGATACATTAAAATACCGTCTTACTAAACTTCAGACTTTGCCCTTCAATGTTTGCGTAATTCAGTGAATAGTGTTTCCATTCTTGTTTGAAGATTATGTTGACGTTTTTATTTCTTTTTCAAAAGCTAATAGTTATTGTCAAGGAAATTCAGTGTCAATCTACATTCGACGAAAATCAGATTTTCCATTTGTGTAAGAGAATGAAGAAGCTCTTGGACTATCGACTGTTATTTCTTTATATGACGAAACAAAATCGAAGCTTATAAGGGACTAGAAGTACCGGTGATTCCCGTCTTAACTGCGTTTCGTTTCAGGCTGTATGTTACAGGAGGTCTGTTGCGTGTCATGGCAGGGTTTAAGAACATAGCCCATGCCCAAATTCGTCTGTAGGACGAAAGGGGTAGGAAATAATATATTAAATTATAAGAGTCGCACTTTAGTGAAAGTAGATGTAAAATATTCAGAGTTCGAACTTCATTCACTTGATAAAATAATGTGTAAAGACTGCTTCAATTTGTTAACTTACAATAAAGACAAAATAAGTTCAAACATAAAAGAAATTATTTAAACGTAAAGGAAGAAATAATTGCAGTTTTATGTGTTTACAAAATTCCCACGTTTCCACCGCTGTGGAAACCTAAAAATTTAAAACGAGTAAAATTAATTAGAATTATGTAAACCTACTGAGAAGCATTTTCTAGAAGAGCATAGGCCTACCTTAAATTAAATCCCGTGAAAAGTACTTTACACATATAAATATGTTTGTAAAACGTCAGTATATTACTGGGATTATTAAATATACTTTAATCTAACGGAATTTGATGTAAAATTCAGTTAATAGAAAGTAAAAGGCTTTTGGATAACTGGATATGTGCTTCAGATTTTCTTAAAGCGACAAACTTTTTTGAGATGTCGCGGATTCGAATCTCGGCTTGTAGACATAATAAGATTGTGCTCACTCTTTGTGTTCTCACCATAAATATGTTGGGATAGTTAATGTCTTAAAAGAAGGTACGACCGGCCGATTCTACATTATTTTATTACTCAGAGCCGTCTTCTTAATATGGTCTGTTGATTTGAAAAGCCTCTTTAAATAGCCAAAGAAACAACAGTGTAATGAATCATGTACAGCATAGTTTTTCAAGAATACTATGATTCCATTGAAAATTAAGGCATTGTATTATGTTGGAAGTTATAGTTTAATTAAATGGTGTTTATTTTCCTAACAATAAAATCCTCAACGTTCATATCCTTAAGATTTATATTTCTAATTATTCTGATAAGTTGGCTCGTAAATTTTATTTACAGTCACGCCATGCATAAAAATGTAGTTTTATTTGCACAATTATTTAATTGAAAATAATTTACTTTCGTACTTTATATTTATTCCCTCGGAATGCCCCAGATTTCAGTATAAAAATAATCGTGTATATTGGTTCGTAATGTTTTAGTTCCAACTCATAGAATGTGATATTTTTATGCCATATAGGGAGTTGTCAGAGTGATTATGAACTGTTAAGTATAAAGTGTGGGGTAGAAACGATAACAGTGTTCCCGTTGTGTAAACGGAGTGCGTAAAGTTTTGTGGTCGTTCACGTAAAGAACAATATAAGCCTGTAATATGATTTTTATTGTAGTGTTAACTTTAATGTGTTGAGCATAGATCATGATCTCCTAAATTAGCTGTCATTAAAAGTACAATTATGCAATTATGCAAGGAATTCTCCGAATTGAAAGCTTCGTATATCGGATTTCTCTGTAGATTTTGGAATCAAGTACAAATTTTAGAGGCAATTTATAACGGTTTAAAATTACTTATGGCGCAGTCGTCAGTTTTAGTATTAGGACATGTCTCTGAAAATTGTTCACAGTCCGAATAAAACATTTTCGATGTTCCGAAAAATGATTCTGTGTTCGTATTTATGTTGAAAGAAAAGAGTATGTAATCTAGTCTGGTACATAAATAAATACAAATTTTATTTAATGTTACATGTTAATAACATAAGTACTCTTCTTTCAAAGCGAAGTAAAGACGTCTTAGGTAGTTTGCGTAAACATAGAATTGAATTGAATCGTTAAAGTGGGCTTTCTAATCTGAGTAAAGTTTGTTCAGGTCGAAAGGAGACATATTTTAATAAACACGTTTCCTGAATAACTGATTTTTCCTCTCAATTTTGTACTGTGAAAGAAAAAGTCTGAAGTTT